CTATTCTTGGTTGGGTTTTATGGAGCTGGCCACGCCCCTGGTCCGTCATATGCATTTGCACAGATTACTAATCGACTCTTTGTCTTCATTTGATGGCTTCGGGTTTTAATTATTCGAGAAATGGTTTTCCAAAACAGAGCGCAGCGCAGAGCCGCAGATGAGATGAGAGCCCGCATATCTTAAACGTTCCGTTGTGTTTGTGATGGTGTCTCGAGCCCATTTTCAGGTGTCTGTTAATTTGTTTCTGCCCCCCGCCCCTCGCCACTCGCCTCTCTGATGCCCCACCGCCCGTTGGGACTGCCTTAAACTCGTCTGCGTCCGTAGTTGACCCTCTTCGTCTTTGTTTAACAACAAATGCTTGACTTGGGCTAAGGTGTTAAAGCTTGTCTCCGCTCGCCGGGCCTCAGCGCGTTTTGAGTTTCCAATTTTTTTCATTTTTTCCATTTTGTATTTTTTGGGTTTCGAGAACTGCTTTCCTTCTTAGACTAGTTCGGCTCGTAGGTTTTATAATTTATGATATTCGAATGGTTTCTATGAAATGCTCTGTGGAGACCAGAGATTGCCACAGATTCGGGGCCAGGCATGTCGGATTCGGTTAGATGGGCAGCGGAATTGGCTCGGAGGAGGGTTGTCGGCATGGGTTGCATGCATTTATAATTCAATCACAAGCAATTAACTAGGAAAATGCAGGGAAAATGCACGCAAAGCCAGCCGAAGAACAAAAGACTTAGACAACAAACTTGAAATGACATTACTTTGCATAACTGCTCCTCCTCTCTCTCTCTCTCTCTCTCTTCTTGCCTCCCTTACATGTGCTTTTTTGACAAATTTGTTTGAAAATTTCCAAATTGAAAAGATTCATTCATCAGCGGGCTGCTCGCATCATCATCATCAAGGTAGGCAGGCAGCAGAAAGGCAGGCAGAAGCTGGGCTCAGGCCATGTTTAATGGATTCCCGTCGTTGGGTCTTGGGTTTTGGTTTGGTTTTTCGGTGCCTACACCACTGCTGCTCACTGGATGAGGCTCAAAGGTCCCATGTGCGATCTGACCCATTGTCGTTATAAATTAGCGCAATCAATCAACTCACTTCACCTGATTCGGCTGAAGAAGCGAGAGAGCAGCACAACAAAAAGATTCCAGACTCCAGATTTGAGTTTTCAGTTTTCAGCTTTGAGATTTGAGATTTCAGTCAAACGAAAACAGGTTACCGGAGATGCAGATAGATAGGGCCAACCAGCCAGCCAGCCCGCCATGTCAGTTAGATCAGAACAAACCCAGACAAATTTCGGCACTTCGTCAATGTCAAAACGACGAAATCATTGACCAGGTTTGTTAAATTAATCAGCGAAATCGTTTAATGGTCTCTCATAGTGCCAGCGCTTCGAGCCAGTGACTAAAATCAAAAGTTATGTTTTAGCTGGAAATGTTCACTCGGCGCTTATCGGACTCGTTTGAATATCGGACTGACCATCTGACCATCTGACTATCGACCTTTCATCTCTTTCTTCTGCCCGAGCCAATGTTAATGTTAACAAGAGGAGACTCCCAAGAAAAGGCAGTTAAGCATCGCCCTGGTGTTTTTCAGGTGTAAAATGAAAGAAGAAGGTTTTCCATCAGATCCCAAAAGTGCCGACCATAAATTTCAGTTGGAAACCTTTTTCCACATAATTTTCCCCATGCCCCCAAGGAGTGTTGCACACTTAGCCGAGAAGAAAAGCGATTTGACTCCGAACTCTCCCTTTCTTCTTCAGCTGGCCATTGTCAGGATTATGATATGATATGATTCTGTTTCGATTCGATTTGCCGCCTCAATGCTTTCTTTTTACGAGTGGGAAATGTTTTATTTTGATGGCGTAGCAAGGTGTTGTTCAGCAGCTCAGCAGCTCAGCAGCTCAGCAGCTCAGCATCTTACCGGCACAATGTCTTGTATTATGCTTGCCACAAAGGAGTTGACTGTTCGGAGTGCTTCAATATGATTCCAGGTCGATGGGGCATTGATTTTTTACATACTATGATACCATACATATATATATATCTTACGTAGCTGCAGGTGCGGAAGCAATTTGTTTAGAATTTTTGCTGTAAACGCACCAGCAACTGCTACAAGTTGCTGAGAGGCACTGCGGCGGACACTAAATAAAAGCGAAAAGAGTAAACACACAACACGAGAAAATATTGCATGCAACAACGCGGCCCAGCTCTGTCCTCGTATGGTATACCATACACCATATACCACATACCTACCTTATAGTAAGGAGTACGGTCGCCAGTGCTTGTGAGCATACAAATATGCAAATTATTGTGCACACAGCGACCACGCCAACAGCCAACAGCCAACAACCAGCAACAACAAGGAGGAACTGGCAGATTTGTTTGCCCTGCCAGACAGTCGAGAAAAAACTGAGCCAACGACTTGATCGCCGCGCAACTAGCCAGGATGTATTGGCCAGGCCCAAGTCAACATACGGCTGAGATATATGGGCCTGAACTTGAAATTTTTATAGTCGGAAATTAGTTCGAAGGAGTGAGTGTACAAGTAGTTTCGGGATATCTAATATGCAAATCACTTGCATGCCCTACAAACATTTTGGTCAGGCAAAATGCAAAACATTTATTTTTAACATATAACTAACTATTCCCGTTGCTTTTATTGGTCTGCAAAAAATTATAAAAATTAGTTTGAATGAATGAGTTTCGGTATATTTAATATGCAAACCACTTTTATGGCCTACAAACATTCTCGGGCTAATCATAACTAAGTATTACCGTTGCCTTAACAAGTATGCAAACAATTTAACTTAGCTTAAAACTTTTACAGTCGGAAAGCAGTTCGAAGGAGTGAGTGTACAAGTAGTTTTCGGGTGTCTTATATGCAAATCACTTGTATGCTGTACAAACTTTATGGAATTTAGTCTGCCAGAATGCAAACATTATTTATAACACATAAAATTTAACACTGTTCCCGTTGCTTTTATTACTTTTTGCACCATAAATTCAATAAACTTCAAAAATTCAACAGTTTAGTGTACAAAAAGTTAAATACATTGCCCAGTTAGAGAGCAATAGATGTTTCACGTCGAATAGTGAATTAAACCAATCTAATAAACAACTGAGTTCTAATAAACCTATCTTCAAAACAGGGAGTATGGTTCCAATTATCAACATTTGCTAAATACTTTTAGTTAATAAATACTTTAGTTAATAAGTTAATAAAATCACAGTCTATTGGGTTTCCAATATTCCATTAAATAAATTCCAATACTTAAATTTGAATTTTGGTAACTATAATCTATGATGCCATTTTTACACAATCAAATCTTTATTCCTCGACACTAGATTCAAACACCATTAACTTTTAGGATCAGTTGGCATGGAATTTAGATCAAAGACGTAGATTGTGTTCAATATGACGCCCTGCAAAGAGCTTTTTTATATGCTCATATAAGTTATGTTTTGATCAGACTGATGGATTATTACCAGTCGTCATCCCTTCTACGAGGGGCAATTAGAAGTGGGGGATTAGCATTAGTGGCATTACGTTTTACGGGGCCCTCGGGCGCTTTACGATTCGGTCGTAAAGCGCTTTGGTTTCATTCGCCAGCATTAATAAGTTCATAAAGTCGGCCCATGGATGTTGGCACATTTGTTTGGCGTTTGCAGTTTTGGGCCATAAACCGTGTAAACTGTAAAATGTAAACAAAGACACGGTTGGTGGGCGCAGAGATCTGCGAGACAGCTCGTTATTTCATCTCGGGTTGCTCTAGCTCGGCTCCTACGTTCCTCCGTTCATCTCAATTATACTGTTTTATTATGGTTTCATTCTGGGCAGCAGCGAGATGGCAGGCAGGCCGGGCCCCAAGTTACCAAGTCCCCAAGTCACCCATGGCACTGCAAGCTACATTGTACGGCCCGGAGCGAACCGAAAAGGTAAGACGATATTCGAAAATGAGTTCTGTGGCCGGAGTGGAATGGAGTTAGTGTGGAGAACGTGTTAAAGTCACAAGTTCCCTAACACGTCTTTAGGTTATTTGATATATTTATTAAACTAGCCAAACGCCGCTGCGCTCTTTCACTCTGCTGGATATACTTTATACTTTATACTTAATATCTGGCGCGTCCGAAACGGGTTATCAAAATATCTGTGCTCAGCTGAGGCGTGAGTTGATTAACTCTCGTTTGAGCCACATTTTTTGGTAGTTAGCACACGGGGATAGCTAGATAGCTAGATAGCTATCCGCAGACTCTCCATGAACGTGGCCATGACTAGCTCTGACTCGGCTCCTTTGGTTCATTTCATTTTTTATTTACGTGAACTACTCTGGTGTCCAATAAAATATACGCAGCGGAATCAGATGCAAAACGTGCGACAGGGAGGCAAGAGAAGAGATTCTCAGCATCTTGTCGCTGAGACACGCGGACGCACTTAATGAGCAGCGATCTTAAATCTTAAAGTCGGACAGGGGCTCTGGTGGGCTAGAGGGGCTCCGATGGAGACGTTGCAGCCACAAGAGCGTGTATCTCGGGCCCCGAAATGTCCGTGTGTGTGTGTGTGTGTGTGTGTGCATCTGTGTGGAAAGTATCTGGAACTGGCTCTGGCGGGGCTTCATCTTTCTGCACTCGAGCTCTGAAAAACTGAAGAACTCCAGGTCTGAAGAGCTGGGGAACTGGAGAACTGGAGAACCCAGAGAGTGAGGCAGCTCTCAAATGCTTATGAAGATATTATGAAAAGCAGCAGAAGATTCAGAGTGTCTGTATGTGTGTGTGTGTGTATATCTGGAAGTGGAGCCTGCATTATGTGGCAAGTTCCATCTCCATCTCCATCTCCACCTGCAAAAAAAGATCAATGACAATTTATTGTCATGACTATGTAAGTTCTCACAGGCGCAGGCGTGCTCAGATGGCCAGATACTCGTGTATCTCAGCATCTGTATCTGTATCTGCATCTGCATCTGCATCTGTTGGATGCTTTTCCATATTTCAAAGTGACATTCGACTGGCGCATTTCGTTCGGTATATTTGTGGTTTATTGGTTGTAAAAGGTAAAATGAAATCTACTTAGGCTGGTTCCTTAGACAAATATCACACACATTGTTAACGCTAGCTAGGCTTAGTTTATACATATACATTTACGGATAGGTAAGCTTAATACTCAAGTACTATATAGAGTCTGGCATTTACAAGTTAGGTATTTTAGTTCAACTCCAGTGGATCACCCTTTAATACTCGGATCTCCTTGGGGCCAGTGGCGTGGGCAATCCGATCTCCTTAAGAATATGTTTTGCAAAGATTCTAATTAGGCAAGGTTACAGCTTCCAGATTCAAAATTAAAGGACATTAAGATTTTACTAGGACCCATCCACACGCCACTGAACCCATTGACTACTGCCATCCCAATCCAGATGAAGATGCACCCACTGCTGCTCCGGTATTTACAGCCTATCAGTCGTGTTTGGGGCCAGCAACTGGATATTGCTCCAGATTCATTAGCTGCCCTGGCACTTCTGCACCTGGCCCAGCACCCGGTCGATGCGCTCCACCAGGATCTTCACGGACTTGTCCGGCAGCGAGGGCAGCACGTCCCGCACTCCGGCGCTGGTGGTCCGCTCGAAGAGGTCCCGCAGTCGCCGTCCCGCTCCCGCCGCTCGCAGTCGACGCAGTGCCTCGATTGTGGGCCGCCGGAAGACGCACAGGTTGTCCAGCAGGAGGCTGTGGTACGCCTCGTACTTCTTCAGCAGCCGGTAGCCGTGCAGCAGACCGCTCTCGTTGTCCAGAAAGACGAGCAGCTGCGAGGCGGACTGGCGGGCCAGATTGTGCGCCGGCGCGGCCATGATGTCGGCGTTCCATTGGAAGTTGTACAGGTTATTAACCACGCGATCGAGGTTCGCGATCAGGTAATCGAAGACGATTAAATCGGACCATTGTGCCAATTCAATTAGTCGCTGCACCAGCGCTCCGTTGGCAGTGGTCGTTGTCGTTGTCGCTGCCGCAGCAGTTGCCGTTGCCGTTGCCGTTCCTGTTCCTGTTCCAGTCTCTGTCTCCTCAATCGCAGTTGATTGATGAGCGGAGCCCGGCGAAGTGGCAGCCCCCAACCGCTTGAGTAATCCCTGTGTCTGCGTCGGCCTTTCGGGTTGCATGTGCCGCGTCAGGTTCCAGACGTCGTGCTTGTTGAGGTGCCGCTCCAGCGGCTGGAAGGGTTGCGGTATCCCGGCTGGCTCCAGATCGGAGAGCCAGCGGGTCAGCACCACCGGGCGGCGCTCCTTCCACTGCGCCTGCGTGATGTCGCCCAAGGCAGCAGCCCAATTGGGCGTACTGGTGTCCACCACGGTGGCGGCACTCGGTGCCAAATTGCTTATATTCAGCAGTTGGCCCAGATAGTAGCTGAAGATCTCGCCCTGGATCTGATCCGTGTTCTGGCGGTAGCGGGCACAGGCCCTCGTTCCATCCGCAAACACCACCAGGCGGTTCTGCATCCGTCCGCATCCCGGCTCCAAGCGAACCACGCGTCCCTGCTCGCCCACGAAGCGTTCCCAGTCGAGTTGGTCCCTCGAGGCGAATCCCTTGGGCAGGGCCTGCTCCACGGTGGGTCCCCAGAAGACGTCCTCCTCGATGAGGTCCGCCTGGGGTTCGGTGGCGGAGGGATTTACAGATGGGGTGGAGGAGGGTAGACGAGAGTTCTTGGGCTTCTGAACCCGCTCCGGACCCTTCTTCGATAGCCTCCGCTCCGGACCCTTGCGATACCGACCGCTGGCCGTGCGCTGCACATGGAACTCCTTGATGCTGCCGTCGTTGGTGTCCAGTTTCTTCACCACCATCGAGTCCGGGGCATCCTTGTCCTGCTCCAGGTGGAAGGCATTGCGGAACACCTGCTCGGCGCTCAGTTCGGCGTCCGCCTCCTTGATGAACTCCACGCGGTACGAGCTGAGCGGCTCCACGGCCACGTGGATCTCCTCCGGCAGATCGGGCGCGGTGTCCGGATGGCGGGGCAGGCCGAACATGGGCACGACCACGCCCAGCGCCATGCCAAAGACGAAGGCGGCCAGGATGCTGAGCAGACAGGCGCGCCGCTGCAGCGATCGGCGCCGGCGCAGCGTCAGCAGAGTCATGTGGGTGGCCTCGATGGGATTGGGATTGGGATTAGCCCGGTTCTCGGGCGCTGTAATCACGCTACAGGTGAGTTGCTGGTGATGTTGATTCTGCTGCTGCTGCTGTTGGTGCTGCTGGCCGCTCAGGTCAAGGCCCAGTGGTTTTGGCTGTGCTTGCTGTAGTTTCTGCTGTTGTCCCGCTTCCAGGCGCTTGATGTCGTACATTTTGCCGGCGAGCCGAAGATCCCGATCCCTAGTTCCCTGTTGCAGCCCAGACCTCAGGCTCAAAGTTCAAGCCGCGCATGGGGGGCGGGGATGGGGTAGTCAGCGTTGCAGTGGTAGTGCAGCCTCACAAAATCGTGAAATTAATTTCTGTCTTTGTTTAATAAATATCGATGGTTCTCGGTTGCTGGCCTCGTCCTCCGCTGGCGTTGGCGACTCCAAACAGAAACAGACCGGTTCGAATTTTTCCTCTACGATTTCCACAATTGAAATTGAAACAAAAACCCAGAAACGTGCTCCTTCCTCCTGCTGCAGCTCCTTGATCGCTCGCTGATCGTCGCTCGTTTATTTATTTTTATACTCTGCGCTGGACCGCGTCGCTTTTTCGCCTTTTCCCCCCCCTTTTTTTTCGATTTTTGTTCGCTTTTTTTTTTCGGGTTTGAGTTCGGTTTGGGTTTATCGATCTATTTTCTGCACGATCACTTGCTGTAATTTTTTATTATACATTTTTCTGGCCGTTTGTTTGTTTGTTTGCTGGCGTTGTTAAGCCCGGCGGGTTAATATTTTGTGGGATCGCTGGCTGGCCGGCTTGCCCTTCAGCTAAACAGTTTCTCTTTTTGTTTTTAATTTCTGGATTTGTGCAGTTTAGCGATTTCGGTGCGCCGATAAAAGCAATTTCGTGGCTTTGAGCTATTTGCCACACCAGCTATAAACATATATATATATATATATACACACTAGTGCTGGCACTGGCACTGGCACACTAGCGCACACACTCGTCCACACACACTTTAGCACTCTGGTGGGTTCGCACTCGAATTCCCAGATTCCCGATTCGCCCCGATAATTGCCCGCGAAGAGCAAACAACGCGACAAGTTTGCTTTTGCTCGACGAACGATGTTTGGGCCCAGGAGAAGACAAAGTCCTAGGCTCCGCTTTTTAGGTTTTATCAATTTAATTTCTTGTCTCGCACCTCGCACCTCGACTTGCTTTTATTTCGCCTCGCTCGCTGTATTGTATTTTAGGCTTTTTGTCCGCATTCGATCGTCGTCGCTGCGCACCGAACGATGTGAGGAATTTTTATGCCTCCGCTTTATTTATTTCGCTGTCTATATGTTTTACTTTTTGCCAGGTTGCCTCGTTCTGCGTCGCGATCTTGTGTTCGGACGCGTATTTAGATTGTCGCACTGTATCTGAATCGAACTTTTGGAAGTCTTGTATATTGTGTGTTGTATCTTGTGTTTTATGTTTTGTATCTTGTATATGACGGATGTGCGACTGCGCGCCTGCGTACCGCTCGCTTCGAGATTCGCTGACAGACTGGCGGACGAGCGGCTCTCGCCGGGCTTAGTTAAAGACACGCGGCCGAGCCAAACTGGGCTCTCTCCCTCTCTCGCTTTTAGCCCGGATCCTTGGCTGCTTGCCGGTTTTGAGTGGAGTGAAACGGGTGTGCGCTCTCCGCTTACATGCTGCTCTCATTTAACCACTCTCTACATTGGCTCTCTCAGGAATAACATAACAAAATAAATTGAATAGAACCAAAACAAGAAAAATTATTTTTAATAAGACTTTTAATTATTGAGCCCGCCTTTGGGTGTGGCTGCAAAAAGTGTTAGGATCATAACAGTGGTAATAACAAGGAATATGGGTAGATTGCTTTTGGACGATTGTTCGGTTTTCTAGAGCTAATTGAGAGGCTAACCAGAATTAGTTAAGTCTATTATTGCTTTAAGAAAATAATTTAAATATTACCATAGGAAGGGGTTTCAGAAAAAGTATATTAATTATTTTAGTTTAAATAAACTAATTAAGGAGCCTATAACTTAAATATTTACTTAAGAAGGGGTTCCAAGAAAAGTATATTAATTTCGTTGGTTTTAGCGCTTTAAAATTCATCAGTCTCCGATTTAGTAAAGATTTCTTAATTGTTTCTGGCAAAAAAAAAAAACATTTTTTAAAATTCCCTTCATTCTCCAACATAATGAAATGCGCCACAAGGTTTTGTATTTATTTGTGGAAAAAGATTTATGTTACAAATTGTATTTTCAAATACATTTTAGATTTAGCTACGGATTCTTGTAGCCGGAAACGTTGGAAAACTCATACAAGCCACCAGTTAGTTTGACCACAAGTCCTAACTCATTGCCGGCATAAACTTTTGCAATAAAACTGTAGTTGGACAATGGCATGTATTTCGGCACATCTTGCCAGCCCATATGCAATCGCTTTAATGCTAGTGTGGTATTCTAGATAAAAAAGCAAAAATATTCAAGTATCATAGTTCTAAAAAATGTTTAGCACTCACTTTTTGAATTGGACACTCTGGAAAACCAACTAATGCTTTCCGAATCACGGTGTAGTAAATCCCTATTATAGAGCCTTTTTCCGAATTCTTTTTCAGTTGGCAAAAGTCCAGTTTTATGTTCTTTACACGAATCATCTTTTGCTGGCCTTGGGGATCGATCTTCACATCGCAAACTCCCGTCAGTTTGTCAACGTCTTTCTGATCATTTATGGTCAGAAAGATGTTCAAGGACAGCCGCGTTTGCAGATGACAATCGACCCGTGAAAACACTTTGTTCTTCATTGAACATTCAATGCTGTTGAATACTATTTGCTAAGAAAACGTTAAATATAAATACATATTTTAAATCCTTTATTGACACAATTTGGATGAACAAACCTTCTTTGTTTCGCCGTCGGTGAGTGAAATACAGCCGAAGAGGGCTAGGGCCCAAAAGATATGGTTGCTCTGATACATTTTACATATTAAAGCCTAGAACGTCTGTATTCTTCCATTTATTATTCGCAATGAAACTCTTAAATGGGTCGTTTAAATGGCAGATCAGATAGGAAGCTAAATTATAAAAACCTATTCAACTGAATCGATCAATTGCCAATTGAAGTACATGTGTTCATATTTTGACATGGCCATGTAGATGCTCATGTATATTTACACTGGAGAGCCTTTTCACTCAAGTTCACTGAGCGAGAAAATCACTTTTAGGGAGAGAAAAAGAGAGAGAGAGAGGGCACATTCTGTGGGAGGCTTTATGATGTGAGTGTTGTTGTTGTTGCTGACAATGTTGATTTTTATGCTCAACGCGGCACATTTGCTGCGCCACATTAAGAAACTAGAATTCGACCCGAAGAGAGCGGTTTGGGGAGCCAGGGAAGGGTTAGAATTAAGATTACGTACTGAGCAAGCCACTCACAACGGTTTTCAGGCACTTCTTCCTGAAGGAAATGTCCTTAAAATACATCGAACAACAAAATATAAAAAAAAATAAAATACAAAACTTCACCTTAAACGTAAGTAAATAAAAACTTGAAAGTGACTCAAGGTTTCAAGTTATTTATGTTGATGAGAACATTAAATATATCTAAATATGGGTTTAGAGAGTGCCAAATATTATGTTTCACAAATTTACCATTCCTTTTAAAAATATTCAAAAACTTGAAAGTCACTAATGCTAAAAAACGTATTCCATTGGTGACAAATTGACTAAATATAAGTAAAAAGCGATGGTGGTTAGCCTTAAATGTTATCTACAAAAAGTTTCTTGTGGTATTTTTATAACAGGTTTAAATTTGAATAATCGTTATCTTAAAAAGTGCAATATTTTAGTAAGTGTTAAATAACACATTCCTAAAGTCCCATTTAGCTTTTCTGGGGCTTCTGCCTTAAGTGTGAGAAATAGAGAGGAAAAGAAGACCCTACCTCATCAGGATTATCATCATTATTCGGAGGACACAAAAGGCAAAAGGAAGGGGAATTGCGAAATACCCAAGGAATGGACGAAGCCAGAAAGGAGAGAAAAACACAAATAAGAATGTGATAGTTGACAAGATAGACATTTTGATATCCTCTATTAGTTTATAGTCCCTTAGAAAGCAAAGTTAAAGTGTTATTGATTAAAAGAAAGCCCATATCAAGATTCCTTAATAAGTCTCAATAGTCTAACGGCCCATATCAATTTCAATTCCTCCGATTAACTTGACACTTTTAAAGATCAGCTCTTTATCGTTTATGACCTGGAACTTATAATTTGAAAGCTAAAAGCCCATTACTTCAAATTCTAAGGCATAAAAATGATACGAAACGCTTTTAGGCTGATATGAAAATTATAATAATTGACCATCTAAAAAGCACGAATATTATAAATAGCTAAAAGCCCTAGAAACGCCCTTTATTGATATGCTAAATAAATATTTAAATACATTTTGATTGTTTATGGGCAACCAAAAGCCATATACCCTTGACTCGCAGGGTATGAAAACAGTTGGAAAAAATATGATCAAGGAATGTAGACATAACTTGACAGCGTGTTTAGAGAATTTCTACTCGGGCCCGAGGACAGAGTCGCGATCTGAGAAGACTCCGCTCCGAAAAGTCAGGAGAATCGGAAGAATCGGAGGAATCGGGAGACGACGGCAAAACGAAGATAACAACAACTGGGGTCCGCTGCATTCTTCAGTGTCTGCGTGAGAGAGTGAGAGAGAGAGAGAGAGAGAGTGAGTTAGTGAGCGATCCAACCGGGTTTTTTGACTCAGAATTGAGCTCACGATTTTTCGGGTGCAGTTTAATTTAATAAAGTGAGAGCAAGTTCGGACCTAATTGAATTGGCAGTGATCGAACCAGAAATCGGCGCTCGTATTGGCCAGCAAACAGACATAAAATCGAATGGATAAAATTTCCATTTCCCAAACCCACAATGCACAAGTTAATTATGCGTCAGTCGAATTTGATGTCTTTTTGGGAAAAAATAAAAACCTTTTAAGTGGGATTTTGTTTGAGGAAACGAACATTATCATTCGAGCGCCATCAATTGGGAATTTCGCCGCTGTAAAGTTGACTCGGTTTCCATTTTGATTTGTCGCTTTTCTGTGCCTTTTTATTTGCCATATGCCCCGCAGTAATGTGTCTGTTGAAATCGTCAGTTTAAGTCAAATTAATTAACATTAATTTTTGTGGCTCGTTTCGAGGCATGAAATCAACCGGGTGGCTGAGCTCGGTTCAGCTCTTTTCTTTTCTTTGGATGTGTGTAAAATTAATGTCTGTTTTGATGATAAATTGGAACTCGTTGGAGCTTTGTTTTATAGATTTCATTTCTAACTGACTCTTGCCAATATGGTGGGAACTAACGAACCGCTGGTGGTCGCTGGTGGATCAGCGCGTTATAGTTATAGTTATGCCTTGGCCAGCGCCGGGCCCTGGGGTTAATCGAATTAAACAAATACCTGACAGAGAGCTGAACTCTTTGAAAAATGATCTATTATGGGACGGCCGTGTAACTGTGCCATGTCTTCTCTGATGGCCTGTTGATGGTTGCCCCGGCCAGTTCGTTGCCTAAGTCTTTCGTTGTGGGAAACACACATATGCGAACACAAGAGACACTTTGCGGCCGCTCAGCTCTCGTTTTAATTATTTGCAGGCTACGTATAAATTTCAGGCAAAGCGAACAGCAAAGAACCCCAAAAAAGTGAGGTAAAGAAACGGGGAAACACACTTAAAGCAAAATCAATTTTAGCCAAAGATTATGGTTTGAAAATGAAAAATGAATCAGTCAAAGCTGAGCAGAAAGCTGATTTCACTTTGCTTCGAAATAAATGAATAAATACAATGTTTAAATTTTGAGACTTGATTAAATTAATTTTAACCAATTTTCGGAGTAAAACCTGCTTGTAATTATTTATTAAAATTATTTAAGTCACCCATTTCAGATGTGCATGATCGGTTTTTTTATGAATCAACCAGATTATTTCTCTGCATTTTAAGATTAAAGCTCTGGCATTATAGACAAATTATAATGATATCAAAAATGTTGTTTTTGAAGAATTTTTTTTTCCTTAAGAAAACACAACAAGATAAATAAAGGTAGACTGCGAAGTATAAAAGTCTAAAGAACAAGCTATGCATTTCAAACCAAACAATTTTATTTTTCAGTGCAAAAACAGAAACGGAAAGCATTTGGCGAAGTTTGTTAAGCGCAAATTCCAGGGATGTTTGCAGTGCGCAACAATTTGGAACATTTTGTTGAACACAAGAGGAGCAAACAGAGAGCAGTCAGCGGAAAAATGAAGTAAAAAAGCCTCGGACATCGCCTTGTGGTCAACGAAAGTGAACTGTGAAGGACATGAGACACGGGCCGGTGCCCCGCCTCCTCCTCCTTCTGTAGCCCCCCCCGCCCCATTTACACCGGGCAGTCGGAAACTGGATGGAACTCGAGTGTTAGCTGGCTTTGTTTGCTCTGCTAGATTCCAGACCACTCATCCTAGACCCAGACGCTGGCGTCGTCGCTGACGATGACGACTTGGACGACCTCAAGAGGCAGGAACTCACTCACTGCAGCGCACTGCATCCAGTACCTCCTGGCACCTCGCCCTGGGATATCGTCACGGGCCGTCAGCGCCTCCATCCACACGGATCCTAGTCCCAGCCGCACTTGAGCCACGGCATCAGCCGCACCATCCAGCATTATAGCCACAGTCGCAATCGCAGTCACATCCACATCCACATCGAAGTCCACATCCCCATCATCGCCACTTGCCACGGACTGTGGCTGCGACCTCGACTGTCGCGCCATCAACTTGGATGGGGTCTGCTCAAGCATCGCGGCAGACAGCAGGGCACAGTGGTTCCAAGGATGCTAGGATAAATAATTGGATGTATTTGAGAACTCCCGCAAATCAAATTTACCTAAAATGGGTTAATGTGACCAAAAATGTAAGATTAATAAGAGATTAAGATTAAAAAGTAAACTGCTCATACGCTAATAAAACATATATGCATAACTCATCTTTTCATGTTCTCTTAGTTGTTTAAATACGAAAAAAAACAACATTTTACTGTTATTTACAGTTTTTAAAACTAAAGCAAATGTCTGTTTATAATATAAACTTTATCTGTTTGTTACCATATCATTCATTAGATAATAAAATACCCTAAGGGTAGTGGTACCCAAACCATCATAAATAAGTAGTCTTATTTTGAGCATTCCGAAACCACTGTTTCGGGTCAGAATCAGATTCGTAGCCAGACCCAGGGTCTCTGGCTGTGGTTCTAGGTGCCAGGGCCTGACCTGAGTTAAACAAATTCATTAAAAACTCGTCACTTTGCGCAGATCACGCTGACTTGGCACATCTTGGCTGGGGGCCCATCCATCCGCCATCCGCCATCCGCCATCCATTCTCGATTCTCGTCCTCTGGATATACAGTCCTCCATGCTGGCCGGGCTGGATCCTCCTGTCGAGCACCGAGCACTTGGTTAAACAGCGTGTGTGTGTTTTTTTTTTGGCCCTGGCCTGTGTCTCTGGCCAATGAAGTGCCATTTTTCAGTTTTAGGGCGATGGAAGGACTCTTTTGGTCTCTTCTAAAGACCAAAGACCAAAGACAATATTTTCGTAGCATCCCTTGACAGTGTGTTTGCACTGTCTACGGCAGAGCCTTGCATTCTACTGCGCATGTTTGTATTCCGTTTCGAAAGGCACTTCAATCAACTTGATCTCCAGCACACCAGCGATCGTCTTCTCCGCTGGCATTTCTCTTGAGAAAGCCAAAGCTCCAAACGCGATAAGCGGCGGTGGCAGTTGCATGCTTCATTGACATCTGGTGGCTGGTGGCCGGTGGCGGCGGTTGGCTCTAACGGCGGCTCATAATTGTGGGACCTGAACCTGGCTGAGATAGGTTTCCAGGAAGTACGCACTGTGTGTGTGTTGTTGCCCGCCGCTACTGATGCCGCCCGTTGATGTCGCCACCAAATCAGCGAATTCCCCAAACGCATCGCCACCTTCGTTCCCTCCAGCAGATGGGATGACTCAGACTGGTTTCCTTCCTGGGATGTGGGAGTGTGCGAGTGTGGGGAGACGACTTTCCCTTTCGCCGGCATTATGAATTTGCCGCCATAAGTGTACGGTACACCGTACAGTATCGCC